CCCTTATATTTTCTCCTTAACACTAAGGACTCTTTTCTCTTTACTCCCTTCATTGTTCACTTTAGATTTCATGATCTTTTGTATCAGTCACTCTCTTGCCAATACCACAAAGTCTCTTGTACATCTGCTCCTTCAGCCTATTCATCTGGAGAAACCAAACACTACACAAAGCCAATTATTTGTTTTCAGCTTTTTTTTTTTCCAGAGAAAAGTTTAACACTGCCTGGAAGACTAACAACGTAGTCAACAGAAGCTTTAGACCACTAAGAATTAATGATCCCATGCCTTAGTTGTGTCTTCATTACAGCCCAACAAATGTACCACACTTCTGTAATTTTCTAGGACTCCCAGTAATTATTTGAACACTTCTTCAAAACTCTGACCATTCTACCTTCCTCCTTGACTTCAACAGATGAGTTTTCCTCCAATTTCACAGGACAAGATAATCAGATTATAATCCTTATCTTTCCAACAGCAAACATATAAATTGGACTGATGATTATTATACACCGTTTAACTTAAATGGTTGTTAAAATAGTAAAATTCTCTGATACCCTCTGAAATGTTCTTTCATTGACCTTGCCATTTCCCTAGGACTTCTCTGACCTTCCCCTGATTCCTGGCTAAAGTGTTAATTGTTGATTTATCAGTCTTCCAAAACCCCATTCCAGCCCTAGACATGTGGCTAGTCCAATGGATGGTGATCAGGTCATGTTGGTTGTTAACTACGTTGAATATCATCCCTTCCCATGAACTTTCCTTGCATCTTCAACTATAGTCCTCCATAATTCTGCTAAAAAAAGAAGTATTAAAAGACGGGGGGGGGGGGTCGGGGGAATGAATGCACAAGGCTAGTCATCGCTGCACCATTTCTTTTCTTTTTCTTTCTTTTCTTTTTTTTTTTTTTTTTGACAAGGAGTCTCTCGCTCTGTCACCCAGGCTTCAGTTCAGTGGTGTGAGCTCAGCTCACTGCAACCTCCGCCTTCCGGGTTCAAGCGATTCTCCTGCCTCAGCCTCCTGAGTAGCTGGGATTACAGGCATGCACCACCATGACCTGGCTAATGTTTTGTATTTTTAGTAGAGGCAGGGTTTCACCATGTTGGCCAGGCTGGTCTCGAACTCCTGACTTCAGGTGATCCACCCACGTTGGCCTCCCAAAGTGGTGCGATTACAGGCGTGAGCCACCACACCCGGCCTAATTTTTTTATTTTTTAAATTTTAATTAATTTATTATTATTATTATTATGAGATGGAGTCTAGTTCTGTCGCCCAGGCTGGAGTGCAGCGGCGCGATCTCGGCTCACGGCTCCGCCTCCGGGATTCACACCATTCTCCTGCCTCAGCCTCCGGAGTAGCTGGGATTACAGGCGTGAGCCACCACGCCCGGCCCTAATTTTTTTTTTTTCTTTTTAAAGAAAACCCCACATATACACAAATGCAAAAATAGGATACTAGAAAATAAAATGTAAAACCAAAATTTAATATTGTCTTTTTGGACATGAGATTGTGGGTGACTTTAAAATCCAGCTATTTCTACTCTTCCTATGATATATATTATGTGTAATCATATATGTAATACATATGTTTAATACGTTATATATGACATATAAATAATATATATAATTTGTTGGCGGGAGGAACGAGGGAGAGCAGGTTTTCAAAATCCGAAAAGCCAAATGCCCCAGTGGGGAAAAAAGCCTCGATTTCCGTAATTCCCTGGTTAAAATCGAGGAACACCTTGGACTTCGAAGGCACTACCTGGGTCCCAGGGTGTACCATTCCTCTAATTCCCCGGTTGCAGCAACATCTGGGAAGTCCCGAGAATGCGAATCGATGCCTCTTTTTCCGAAGATAGTAAGCGTCAACAACAAAAAATAAACAAAAAGTCCAACTCGGCCCCAAAGCAGCATCTGGCTGGCCTGCGAGATGCCCACTCAGCAGGCGAGTCCGCAGCTTAGGACTCAAGTCCGGGTTCAGAAGCTATCGCCGAGATCCGAAAGGCAGCGCTCGCAGCTGCAATGACCCGACCCGCCCATAAGTCCTGGTGCTCACAGCATCCCGGAAACCCACGCCTAGTGCTTCCGGGCCACGTCGGCCCAGGAAGGCGCACGCGCGGAGTACGGGGAGCTTCTCTCCGCGCTCTTAGGCTGCTTGTGGGGCCTGCGAGTGCTCGGGAGCTGCCGGGGTCACAAGAGAAAGCCTAGCTGTCGATGACAGCCCCAGAGCGCCTGGGAGCCTTGCGATACCCGGGTGTCTGTAGGCAGCCAGCAGACACTAACACGCTGATCTGGAATCTTCCCTCGCCCGGCTCTGCCCCTCACAGGGATGGCAAAGGACTTTACGACCTACATCCCTTCCCCGCTCTGATGGCTTTAGATGGGCAGATTGTGTTTAAGTGGAATGCTTGTGGTGCCCCTTTGCTGAGTTTTTATGGACTCAGTTTTCTCAAGTAGTTCTAATAATCGCTGGGGGTAGGGGGGTGGGGCGGGAACGTAATTTCTGCGTCTGCCCTTTCCTTTAAACCTTGGCTGCATTGTCGCTTTTATGGAATTTCACCAATGGTCTGTTATTTTTTAGTTTCCCTGATACACATCTTTCTTAATAAAATAAATAGCACTTTGGGAGGCGAAGGCGGACGGATTACCTGAGGTCCGGAGTTCAAGACCAGCCTGGCTAACATGGTGAAACCCCCATCTCTACTAAAAAAACAAAAAATTAGCCGGGTGCAGTGGTGCGCGCCTGTAATCCCATCTACTCGGGAGGCTGAGGCAGAATTGCTTGAACCTGGGAGGCAGAGGTTGCGGTGAGCCGAGATCACGCCACTGCACTCACACTCCAGCCTGGGCTACAGAGCGAGACTTCGTCTTCAAACAAACAAAAACAAAACAAAGCATGTGGCCAATATTCCCTGCCAGTACTTGTTTTCTTTAGAAAATGTAACTTTTGAACATAATTTGACTTGAAACGGTTTCTTTTCAGGATTTATCATTTTTTATAGGTGATTCCAGTTCAAAATAGTTATTACATTAATATGTTGATAAATCGTCATTGCTGAACAAATTTTTTTATGTGCAATCATACAGAACATTTTATATTTAAGGATGTTTATATATCAAGTATATAATCATTGGTAGAAACTGGGCAGGGCGCGGTGGCTCACGCCTGTAATTCCAGCACTTTGAGAGGCTGAGGCAGGCGGATCATCTGAGGTCAAGAGTTCAAGACCAGCATGGCCAACATAGTCAATCCCCGTCTCTACTAAAAATCCAAAAAGTAGCAAGCGTGGTAGCACGCACCTGTAATCTCGGCTACTTGGGAGAATGAGGTGGGAGAATCACTTGAACCCCAGGCGGCGGAGGTTGCAGTAAGCCAGGATTGCGCTACTGCACTCCAGCCAGGGTGACAGATCCAGACAGAGTTTGTCTCCAGAAAAAAAAAAAAAAAAATAGAAATCTAAGAAAGCTATATTGCTTATACTCTTAACATTTCTAACATTTCACTACATTTATCCATTCTCAAAGGAACTTTCTCATCACAAGATTGGAAAATCTGTACTTCCCTGGCTTAGTATGACTTAATCATAAATGTCTAAATTTGACTGATGTCCCAGGAAAGAAAACTTGTAAAACTACTCTGTTGCATTCTATGTGTTTATGTGACATTTGAGATCTGCATATTATGCATAGCAATCTGGTTTTTAATATAATGTACAGAGACTGAAAAAGTTTTAGCGGTGTAGCTGCCACTTTAGCTGCTTAAAGTAATATATGCATCATCTGCCCCCTTTGGTGGTAGGAATGTCAGATTCCATTCTCTGTAGGGTATTTCATACAAATCTGTTAGTCACTGGAGGAATCAGAAACTAGACACACAACTGGTCCATCTGGCTGTCTGGTGGCAGCAGAGGAACTGGGATTTCCAGGGCAACTGACAGGGCAATAGGAATGGGCAGCAGGGAGGAAATCTGGGAAGGTACATAAGGTTTAGGTCCAATACAAGCACTGTGCTTTAAATACCATTCTGACCCTCATTTATGTTTAATAACCTTTATATTTAAGATCTATCCACATTGCCTTCTTCCATTTTATTCCTTCAGATTTCTACATTGTATTACATAATATATGCTATCTTTCACTTACTGATTCATTTTGTGATAAGCATAGTTTGCCTCCAACTTTTTACTAACTTAATGCATTGTTTCTCACCCCAACTCCATTCCTCAACCAAGTCTGACTGGTCAAGAAATATCCAACACCTGGAATCAACCTGCGTGCTAGCAAATTAATAAATAATAAATGCTTTTGGAACCAATTTATGGAGGTCCTCAAAAACTGGGTGGTGTGTTTAATGGTAGGTCAAAATTTGGCAAAAAGAAATATACAGAAAGCCATTTCCAGAACAAAAAAAATGTCAGAATACAATTTGCCAAACAAATCTTCTAAATTACTAATTTGATGAATTGTTGACGCTTGTTAAAAATGTTTAAGCCCTACTCGTGCCTCAGCCTTGTCTGAGGCAAGCCCAGGAACAGGGGCAGAGCGTGAGTATACAAAACGAGACGAACTGCAAACTCCACTTCAGAAAAACTTCACCTATTTATGTATCTAAAGGCTGGGGTAAATGCAAAACTAAAGCTCTGAAAAACTCTATTTGACAAACTAGCTTTCAACTGCTAGTAAAAAGCCTAGAAATTGGCTGGGCGTGGTGGCTCATGCCTGTAATCCCAGCACGTTGGGAGGCCGAGGCGGGCGATCACCTGAGGTCAGGAGTTCGAGACCAGCCTGGCCAACATGGTGAAACCCCATCTCTACTAAAAACACAAAAATTAGCCAGGCATGGTGGCAGGCCCCTGTAATCTCAGCTACTTGGGAGGCCGAGGCAGGAGAATCGCTTGAACTTGGGAGGTGGAGGTTGCAGTGAGCCGAGATCGCACCATTGCACTCCAGCCTGGGTGACAGAGCAAGACTCCGTCTATTAAAAAAAAAAAAAAAGCCTAGAAATTAAACAAAACTGGTTTTATTTCATAAGACGTCTAGAGATAGGCAGCGGCTGGTGTTGGGTCCGCAGCTCAACAATGTGGCAACTGGCATCTTCGTGGTTCTCTTAGTCCTTCCTTCTGTCATAGTTCAAATAACTCCTCCAGCTCCAGCCATCACTTTGACTGGAGGAGTAAGAGGGGGAGGAGGTGGCCTAGCTGCATATGTTTCTTTAATCAGGAAGCAAAAGTTTTCCCAGAATTCCCAAGGCCAAAGCTGTGTCCTGAGGCCACTGAGAGTTGTTAGTTGCAACAGAGGCTGAAAGGGGAGCAATCAGCTTTTCTGGGTTCTTTAGTGAAGGCAGGTAAGGGAGAAGGGGGTTGGGAATGGCTGGCAAATTGGAGCACCAACATCACCTTTGTGGATCATTTCTTTTTCAAAATGGGCAGCTGATATGTGAAGAAATATCTAACAACAATTTTAAGGTTGTAATTTAAAACTCAGTTCTGCTTTCAATCATGACATTTTTAACAGATGCATTTCAGCTATACTATTTTTCTTGTCCCCCACTCCCCAACATTCTAGAATGGAACTAAAATAAAATTACTTAATCTTTCAAGAAAAAGTGGGAAAAAAAAATCAAAAGGCCAACAGTGACAAGATACTTTCAACTACTCTTACTGTCATTGTCCTTCTACACCAAAAAACATCTGGAAAACATCCCCACATCCTTTGGCATTTAAGAACTGATAGAGCTGACCAAAGTCCATGTGGTTTCCCCTGGCTCCATTAACACTGAACACTTTTTCTTCAAAAATGGAAAATTTCCTTTGTCTTTCCATTTCATCATTTGTACCATCAAAAGGAATGTCTTCTCGATGGCGGATTAAAATTCTCTTCCAGTTTAATTTTCTGAGTCTGAAAAGAAATTTCCAAAGTAAACATTTTCAAAATGTATAGAGCACATAAAACAGAAGTTATAAAACAGACTTATCAATGCCTTTTCCTAGAAGTAGTCTACTTTTAAAAATTTTTATAACTTTTGTTTATTTAGTAGAGACAGGTCTTGCTATGTTGCTCATGTTGGTTTCAAACTCCTGGCTGCAATTGATATGCTGCCTCAGCCACCCACAGTGCTGGGATTACAGGTGTGAGTCATCACACCCCACCCAAGAAATCTACTTTTATCTCAGAGGGATTTATTTTAATCAAATATGATTCTGGTCATAATCCCATCCCCAAACTCATTTGTTGCCCTTACTACGGCCTTGTATCAGTAGTTTAGAAATGTAGGAATTACTGAATCCCAAACTATTAATGGATCTTCTCAGAAATTCATTTAGGATATCAGTAGAGAAATGAGAAGACTAGTGGCAACTCTAGTGCTTCTAGAAAGCCCCTTACTTCATAGGGTATACAGTTTGCAGCATCACTAAGATAAGGGAAGGATCAGATCCATGGAAGTGGATGGGGTCATAGTGTCTTGGGCAGGAGCTCAATTCATTCAGCGTATATTTACAGAATGTCTCCTATATGTACTTGTCAGGTGAGGGGGAAAATGCTGACTACATGCGATTTCTGCCATATCTATCAACTTGAGATTGAATCCCCATAAAGATACAACCCCCGGGACATACTTATCTCCACATCTCTAATAGTCATGTGTTGCTTAACAATGGGGATACATTCTGAGAAATGTATCTTCAGGTTATTTTGTCATTGTACCACCACGATAGAGTGTACTTACACAAACCTAGATGGTACTTTTTTTGTATTTATATTTTTTCATATAGAAAAGCAAATGTCCCAGCACGATTACTGAATACCACTCTGATATTCAATAGTGGGAAGATCAAGTGCCATGTATCAGGTTTCTATATGTGCTCCATTATAATCCTATGGCACCACTGTTTTATGTGTGGTCCACTGTTGAGCAAAACATTACTAGGCAGCACATGACTGTATCTTGTTTACTATTAAAATTTTTGACATGACTTCACATACATATGTGAAAGCAAACCTTGACCAGAATTCTTCACAGGCACTTTGTGGGCCTTCCACACAAACAACACCAGGTTTTCCAGGCATGCTAAACCCAGACAGGGAAAGCTCCTTTGCCCACTCTAGAATATTCTTTCTTTTGCATTTGTTGTAGATATGATGGCTGTAGATCCAGACTCTTGTGAAGATGAGGTCAACTGACTGGACTGTGCTTCCTGTGGGGGGTGAAGATGAAGTATCTCTGCTGACATAGCCAGACGCGTGTTCTCTAACCCACTCCGTGGCATTCAGTATACAAACATCTCCATGACAATGTTTTTGCAGGAATGCAGTCAGATCTGTGTTCAGCTGAGTCTGCTGGGATCTACTCAATATTACTGATCTAACAGAAAAGATATAAGAAAACAATTGTCTGGGAACAGAAAACAAATTCAAGAGTTGCTTTTATTCTCAGATTAATTTGACCTCCAAAGTTGGCCAGAACTTCTGTAACGTACCTGACAGTAATTTCAGGCAGAACTGCTGGGTATTTAAAAGGAAGAATACAGGCCAGAGAAAACATCGCCTGATTAAAGAGAAGAAGAAAAAGTGCACTAACCAATGTTTTAAGTCTCAACATGTTTCCATCCTTCCAAAAGCAAAACTGAATTACCATTGCTTCCTCAGATACATCCAGGTTCATATTGATAGTAAAGTAAACTTTTGAAGATCGCCCCTCCATTGTCTTCTTTTCAATACAATCTTTCAGTTCTGCTACAGCCAGTTGGTCATTTACTATGAGCTCATTCTCACCAGGGAACATACTGGCTAGCAGGTCTAACTCAGCAAGCTGGGCCTCCGCCTGCTCTATCTCAATCATTTTTGGACATGTGTAAGTTTCTAAGGAGGTAAAGACAAGAGAGACAATTTACATATGCAATCTTAGAAGAAATGAATACATCAACAAGGGTACTTACTAAAATTGTATTTGATTTCTTCGTAAATTGTACAATTTAATTCCCCATCACTCTACTTTCAGATATAATATACTAAGTCCTATGCTAAGACCAGCCTGGGCAACATACTGAGACCATCTATAAAAAAACAAACACAAAAAACTTTTAATAGTAAGCAGACACCACATTATTCTGTGTCTAGATAGTTGAGCAGACATTTTGAGCTACCATAAATGGGCAATTTCATCAAAGCAAACCAATTATGTAGTTAAAAAGCTGTATCAATAATGTAGCCAGAAGAGAGGACATAACTGGTTACACTGGAAACCTAGAATGTACAGAATAAGTCAGAGAGTTTGATTATCTGAATGGTCAGTTTCTTAAGTAAATATTGTTTATTAGTTTTTTTTGAGACAAGGTCTAGCTCTGTCACCCCAGCTGGAGTGCAGTGGCATGATCCCCGCTCACTGCAACCTCAACCTCCCACGCCCAAGCAATCTTCCCACCTCAGACTTCTGAGTAACTAGGACCACAGGTATGCACTGCCACGCCTGGCTTCATTTTTTATTTGTAGAAACAAGGTCTTGCTATGTTGCTCAGCCTGGTCTCAACCTCCTGGGCTCAAGCAATCCTCCTGTCTTGGCCTCCCCAAGTGCTAGCATTACAGGTATGAGCCGATGAGCCACTGTGCATGGCATTTATTAGTTTTCCTTTTTTTTTTTTTTTTTGAGACAGAGTCTCGCTCTGTCGCCCAGGCTGGAGTTTAGTGGCACGATCTCGGCTCACTGCAAGCTCCGCCTCCCGGGTTCATGCCATTCTCCTGCCTCAGCCTCCCGAGTAGCTGGGACTACAGGTGCCCGCCACCACGCCCAGCTAATTTTTTGTATTTAATAGAGATGGAGTTTCACCATGGTGGTCAGGCTGGTCTCAAATACCCGACCTCAGGTGATTCACCTGCCCCCTCGGCCTCCGAAAGTGCTGGGATTATAGGTGTGAGCCACCTCACCTGGCCTCATGACAATGTTTTCCTTGCTAACCACTGACTTCGTATAATGTTATATCCCACTTTTGTAACTTGATATCGTAACAAACATTTGGTGGCGGTGTGTTTTTGTTTTTTGGTTTTTTTTGAGACAGAGTCTCGCTCTGTCGCCTAAGCTGGAGTGCAGTGGCACCATATCCGCTCACTGCAAATTCTGCGTCCCAGGTACACGCCATTCTCCTGCCTCAGCCTCCCAAGTAGCTGGGACTACAGGTGCCCGCCACCACGCCCAGCTATTTTTTTTTTTTATTTTTTGTAGAGACAGGGTTTCACCATGTTAGCCAGGATGGTTGAGATCTCCTGCCTTCGTGATCCGCCCGCCTCCACCTCCCAAAGTGCTGGAATTACAGGCATGAGCCACCACACCCAGCCCTTTTTTTTTTTAACAAAATCCTCATACATACTTAAAATCCCTGGACTTATTGGAATTCCATAGACGTATTTGCTAGTCTGTTTTGGAGTTGAGAAACACAGAAAACAACTTCTTGGGTGGTTATTAGAGGAAGTGCATTTACTTTGTTTTTTGTTGGAGTGGCTCTGTTACCAGTGTTTGGATTCTATTACCAGATTGCCAAGGTGCAACTCCAGGCTCTGCCACTTACCAACTGCACGACCTTAGGCAAGTGGCTTAATTTATCTGTGCTTTAGTCTCCCCAACTCCGTAACTGGGATGAGAGGGTTGCTGTGATGATTAGATGAGAATTTGTGGAAAGTGCCCGGCAACAGAGTAAATTTTATGTGTGCTTGCTGCTATTATTATTAATTTAAAAACCTTTTTTTTTTTTTTGAGACAAGGTCTAGCTCTGTCACCCAGGCCAGAGTGCAGAGTTGGTTCACTACAACTTCTGCTTTCTGGGTTTTTTAGTAGAGATGGGGTTTTACCACATTGGCCAGGCTGGTCTCGAACTCTTGCCCTTGTGATCCACCCGCCTTGGCCTCCCAAAGTGCTGGGATTACAGGCATGAGCCACGGTGTCGGGCCGGTTATTACTATTATTATTATTGGTCATCATTTCTTTTTTTGTTTGTTTTTGAGACGTAGTCTTGCTCTGTCACCCAGGCCGGAGTGCAGTGGCACGATCTCGGCTCACTGCAAGCTCCGCCTCCTGGGTTCACGCCATTCTCCTGGCTCAGCCTCCCAAGTAGCTGGAACTACAGGTGCCCGCTACCATGCCCGGCTAATTTTTTGTAGTTTTGGTAGAGATGGGGTTTCACTGTGTTAGCCAGGATGGTCTCGATCTCCTTTACCTTGTGATCCACCCGTCTCGGCATCCCAAAGTGCTGGGATTACAGGCGTGAGCCACCAAGCCCGGCCTGGTCATCATTTCAACAAATGTTTCTAAAGCACTTACGTTCAAGCATTGGCACTAAGATAACAATGAATGAAAGTAATAAAACAACTCTACTGGTGGGAGGATACCATGACATCAAAAACAAATTTATATGCCCAGCCCAGGTGCGGTGGCTCACGCCTATAATCACAGCACTTCAGGAGGATGAGATGGGCGGATTACCTGAGGTCAGGAGTTTGAGACCAGCCTGGCCAACATGATGAAACCCCATCTCTACTAAAAATACAAAAATTAGCCAGGTGTGGTCACACACGCCTGTAGTCCCAGCTACTAGGGAGGCTGAGGCAGGAGAATCACTTGAACTGAGGAGGCAGAGGTTGCAGTGAGCTAAGATCATACTACTGCACTCCAGCCTGAGCAACATGTGAGACTGTTTCAAAAAAAACAAAAAAGAATTTTTATATCCAGTAAATAACTGCTGTGAAGAAACCTGAAGAAAACAAGGACAAGGGAAACAATAAGGCAGCAGGGGGGTGAGACTGCACAAGGGGTCGTCAGGAAAGGCCTTTCTCCTAAGGTGACTGTAGGGAAGAGACTTTAAGGAACTGAAAAAGGATGCCATGTGTTTTTCTTGGCCAAGAGTGTTCGAGGGAAAGTGAACAGCATGTTCAAATGCCTTGAGGTAGGAGGGTGCTAGAGCAGCTGGCCAGCGCACAGTGAGCTGGGGACAGGGTAAGGACTTAGTAAGGAAAGGTGGGGCAGTTTATGTTGGGACTAGTAAAGCATGGCCAGAATTTTGAATTTTATCCCGACTGATACGTAAGAGCTACAAGAGAGGTTTGACTTACGAAGATCCCCACACTTGCTGCTACGGAGAAAAGTGAAAGGAAAAGTGGGGTAACCAGATAGACACCGCAATAACTAGGGAGAGAGGATGGTGGCTTGGATAGGATTATAGTGGTCAAGTTGGTAAACTTCAGGTTCTGGATACATGGAGAGAACAGAGGCAACAGGATTTACAGATGAATTACATGAGACACGGAAGAATGACTCCAAGGCTTTAAGCTACTGAAAGTATGGATGTGCCATTTATTTGGACGGTGTGGTCATGGAGAGCTTCAGGAGAGCTTCATGGAGAGCTGAAGTAATGAAGCGCCTACTAAGACACCTGTTAAATAGAGATGTCTAGCATGCAGTTAGATATACAGTTTTGGAGTCTACGAGAGACTGAGCTACAGATATGATTTTGGGAGTCAACACTTATTTGGAGCTATATATTTGTTTAACGTCTCCCAGGGAGTGAGCAAAGTCGGGAGAGGGTCCTATCGAATCCAGGTAGCAAAGATGAAATGGAATAGCGAAGAAGTACGGGACGGAGGGACTCTTGAATGGATAACTACGGGAGTGATGTCACAGGTCATTTATCTGCCAAATTATTTTCGCTTAAGAGATTTCAGTCCTTCCAAAAAACCCTCAAGATAATTTTATGACTCAAGATTTCAGCGAATGCTGTAAGGAAATAGACTGTAGCCGGGCGCGGTGGCTCACGCTTGTAATCCCAGCACTTTGGGAGAAAGGGGGATTGCTTAAGCCCAATTGTTCAAGACCAGCCTGGCTAACACAGGGAGACCTCGCCTTTACTATTATTTAAAAAATATATATATATTTAAGAGAACGTAGACTGAAACTTGATATTTCTGAGTGGAATAATATCTTTTCCTTGCAGATTTTTTTTTTTTTTTTTGAAAAACAGAGCACGGTACCCCGCGACCCAAGCCACGAAGCTCTCAGGAAGAATGCCCAGCACGCAGCCACCCTCGCACCCTGATTGCCCTCGGGGCGAGGTCGCCGGCTGGAGTGGGGCTGCTGAAGCCGGGAAGCAACGCCGAGGTCCAAACCGACCGATGGGCGCCTGCAGTGAGGGGAGCCGGGCAGCCATGCCGGGAAACGTTCCCAAAGAGTTGCGCCCGGCGCTGCAGCGTGGGAAACCCCCGTGGCGCTCACCACTGGCGCTGAGGCGAGACTAACCTTGAGTCGCGGCCCCCTCACTGCTGTAACCCGGGTTCCATGGCTGCATGGACAGCTCAATTTTCACCGGAAGGAAACCTCAAAATTCTAGTATACTGCGACCCAAAACTCACAACCCGCCTCACCTAGCGGCCTATCAGAAAAAACAGGGCGCGCGGCGCATGCGCGCGCAGGGCCGCGGCCGGAAGCTAGAGCTGGCCTGTCGGGCGCCAGGTCCGCCAGTGTTTGTGTACGCAGCTGGAACGACTAAGGGAATGCTTTGTCCCTGCTAGGTACTTCTCAGTCGCAGAGTTTTCTTCTTCTTCTCCTCCTTTTTTTTTTTTTTGAGACGGAGTCTCGCTCTGTCCCTCAAGCTGGAGTGCAGTGGCGCGATCTCGGCTCACAGCAGCCTTCACCTCCCGGGTTCGGGTTCAAGCGATTCTCCTGCCTCGGCCTCCCGAGTAGCAAGGATTACAGGCGCCCACCACCATGCCCAGATAATTTTTGTATTTTTTAGTAGAGACGGGGGTTTCACCATGTTGGCCAGGCTGGTCTCGAACTCCTGACCTCAGGCGATCCGCCACCCCTGGCCTCCCAAAGTGCTGGGATTACAGGCCTGAGCCACCGCGCCCGGCTGGAGTTTTTCTTCTTAATAACTCTCCATGCCAACCCCGTTGTCATTTCCCAGCGGCTGCCACTGTCAGTCTATATAGTGGGCACTTTTCAGGGACAAAGAATTGGTCCGTTAATGCTCCTCAAACTCGAACGTGCCTAGGAATAGTTCGGGAATCCTGTTGAAATGCAGATCAAGATTCGGTAGGTAGGGACAGGGGTCCAAATTTTGCATTTCTAGTATCTTCCCACACAGTGGTGATCCTCCTTGTCCCTGAATCATGGAGGAGGAGGGCAATTAGGGAGATCTGAGCCTCGATGCATGGTGGCCTTAGTTATCTTAGGTGTTCTCGCCCATTAACCAAGCTGGGAGGAACCGTGTGAATGCATATTTTTCCCTCTTAATAAAAGGGTAGTTTGAAGGAGATGCTGACAGGAGGGTAATTGGAAATGTTTTTCTTCCCAATCCAACTATATGGAATACACCTTATAATATTTATTTTAGAAGTGTCATAGATACGATTTGTAAACACTGACATATAGCAATACTAAATATCACTGCTAGCTCTCCCCCCCCCAACCCCTGCCGCTTTTTTTTTAAACAAAAAGACAGTATGTATTGTAGGTGTTCATAAACTACATCTTCTGCATGGTGTTTCATGAGCATTTTTCAATGTCATAATTTATTTTTTCCTCCAACATTTATTATGAAAACATTCAAGTGTAAAGCAAAGTCGAGAGAATTTTACAGTGGAGCAGATCTCAAGAGAAGGGGAAGGACGGATTTCCCCTCTATTTAGCAGTGTCTGAAGACATTTTGGGTTGTCACAACTGGAAGGATGCTATTGGCATGGAGTAGGTAGAGCCCAGGGATGCTCCTCAACTTCCTACAATGAACAGGACATCCCCTGACAATAACAAATTTGCTGGCTCAAAATGCTGATAGTGTTGAGGTTGAAAAACACTGACCTGGAGAGTATAGAATTTTACTCTACCAGCTTTGTCACATATCTCATCAATCCATCTGTTTTCATACATTTCAAAGTAAACTGCAGACAGTAGCTTCTAAGTATCTCTAATGTACATCATTCAAATTAGTTTTTGTTTTGTTTTGTTTTGTTTTTGAGATGGAGTCTCGCTCTGTCGCCCAAGCTGGAGTGCAGTGGGCGCCATCCCAGCTCACTGCAACCTCTGCCTCCTGGGTTCATGCCATTCTCCTGCCTCAGCCTCCCAAGTAGCTGGGACTACAGGCGCCCGCCACCACGCCCAGCTAATTTTTTGTATTTTTAGTAGAGACAGGGTTTCACGGTGTTAGCCAAGATGGTCTCGATCTCCTGACCTCATGATCCACCCACCTCGGCCTCCCAAAGTGCTGAGATTACAGGCATGAACCACCACGCCCGGCCCAAATTAAGGATTTTAAAGGTAAAAATGAAATGTATAACTTAAATACACATGAGTTTTTAAATGCATACACCTATGGAACTCAAGCCATATTAACGTATAGAACATTACCATCACCCCATAAAGTTCTTTCATGCCCTTTCTTAGTCCCCACCCAGTTCTCCCCAAAGGTAACCACTGTTCTGATTTTTTTTCCCCACCATATTTATTTTTCTTGTTCTAGAACTTCAAATGGTTGGAGTCATGCAATAGATATTTTTGTGTAAGGGTTCTTTCACTCAGGGAAATATTTTCATCTGTTATCATGTGTATCAGTTTCTTTTGATTGCTCAGTAGTATTCCATCATATGAATATACCAGTTCCATTCTTGTTTTGATAGAAACCTGGGCTATCTTCAGTTTTTTGGCTATTATAAATAAAGCAGCTGCGAACATTCTTGTACAGCATTTTATTTCTCATGACTATTTCTTTTCAATCAATATTTATCGAGCACTTACTATATTCCAGGCACTTCCAGGTACTAATTATAGCCATGAACAACACAAAGATGTTGCATCTCTCAAAGACCTTATATTTGCACATTTCTGTGTATGGATGAAGAGGGCTAAACATAAAGGTAAAAATAAAAGAAAATTATGGGCCGGGCACAGTGGCTCACACCTGTAATCCCAGCACTTTGGGAGGCCAAGGCAGGCAGCTCACTTGAGGTTGGGAGTTCGAGACCAGCCTGACCAACATGGAGAAACCCTGTCTCTACTAAAAATACAAAACTTAGCTGGACATGGTGGCACATGCCTGTAATCCCAACTACTGGGGAGGCTGAGGCAGGAGAATCGCTTGACCCCGGGACGCAGAGGTTGCTGTGAGCCGAGATCACACCATTGCACTCCAGCCTGGGCATCAAGAGCAAAACTCAGTCTCAAAAAAAAAGAAAAGAAAAGAAAATTATGGCCAGGCATAATAGCTCATGCCTATAATCCCAGCACTTTGGGAGACCAAGGAGGATCACTTGAGCCCAGGGTTTGAGACCAGTTTGGGCAATAGAGAGAGACCCCTGTCTCTACAAAAAATACAAAAATTAGCCAGATGTGGGGTCCTGTGCCTGTAGGCCTGTAGTCCCAGCTACTCAGGAGGCTGAGGTAGGAGAATTGTTTGAGCCTGGGAGACTGAGGCTGCAGTGAGCTGTAACTGCACTACTGCACTCCAGCCTCGGCAACAGAGTGAGACTCTGTTTAAAAAAAAAAAAAGAAAATTACCAGATAGTGGATAATTGCTGGACAGAGAAGTAAAGTAAGGTGATGTGAGTGATCAGATGACTGTGTTACCTAGATTGCCCTGTAACTGGAAGGAAGTGACTTTTAAGGCATGTATAGAGGCTGGATGCAGTGACTCACACCTGGAATCCTAGTGCTTTGGGAGACTGAGGCTGGAGTATCGCTTGAGGTCAGGAATGTGAGACCAGCCTGGGCAGCAAGCTTTTGCAGAGACACGGTGACTTCAAAAAATCAAAAAGTTAGCTGATGGGGTGGCACACACTTGCAGTACCAGCTACGGGAGGCTGAGGCGTGAGGATCACTTGAGCACAGGAATTCAAGGTTTCGGTGAACTATGATTGCACTTTAGTCTGGGCTACAAAGCCAGACCCTGTCTCTAAAATAAGTAAATTAAAAATAAGGTGTGAACAGAATGACAATAAGATACCAACCCCGGAAGATGAAGGGGAAGAGCCTTTCAGACAGGAAGCACATGGTACAATGACCTTAAGGCTCTGTTTTAAAATGGGTGGGGGCAAAAAGCCTGCATTTCTGGAGCTTGGAGAATAAAGCTTTAAAAAATTATCTCATCCCACTCCTGTTCTTTCTTGCATGAGAGCTGGAGCCTATGCCCTACCACACATCCGTGGATATGCCCAGGATTTGACTTTAGCCTTGGAACTTAGCATAATAGCTGCTACTAACTTTTTGAGATAATACATTCGTGGGGGCTCAGTCCTGCCTCATCTAAATCACCAGAGACCAAACAAGGACGAGCCCAATATCTCTCGGACTTTAATGTCATAATGTTGTCAGAATAAAGTGAAAGATGAAACTAAGCTGGGTGCGGTGGCTTACACCTGTAATTCAGCACTTTGGGAGGCTGAGGCAGGTGGATCACTTGAGGCCAGGAGTTCAAGACCAGCCTGGCCAACATGCTGAAACCCCACCTCTACCAAAAACTACAAACGTTAGCTGGGTGCGGTGGGGTGGCATGTGCCTGTAATCCCAGCCACTCAGGAGGCAGAGGCAGGAGAATGGCTTCAACCCGGAAGGTGGAGGTTGCAGTGAGCTAAGATCGTGCCACTGTACTCCAGCCTGGGCAGCAGAGTGCAAGCCAGTCTCAAAACAAAAGAAAACAAACAAACAAAAAAATTTATCTCAGCAGTAAAAAGCAAGAGAGCTAGTTTTCCCCCAAATTTAACCAAATGTTACTCTGGTGGTTAGTATGCCACCATCTTAAACTCCTTTCATCTGATTAGTAACAATAGACATGTATTTTATGACCAATTTTTTTTTATGGTGAATTACCTGTTTACATTCTTTGACTATTTTTCTATAGATATTTGCAAGCCCCCCACCCTCGCACCCTTGGTAGGGATTACTATTTTCTCTACTAAACTAAGACTCCAGGGCAGAGAGGCCTATGTTTAATTCATTTGAGGGAAGGCTTGGCACAAAGTGTACCCTTACATATTTTCTTTTTTTGAGACAGAGTTTCACTCTTGTTGCCCAGGCTGGAGTGCAATGGAGTGATCTCGGCTCACTGCAACCTCTGCTTCCAGAGTTCAAGCGACTCTCCTCCCTTAGCCTCCCGAGTAGCTGGGATTACAGGCGCTCGCCGCCATGCCCGACTAATTTTTTGTATTTTTAGTAGAGACGGGACTTCACCATGTTGGCCAGGCTGGTCTTGAACTCCTGACCTCAGGTCATCCACCCGCCTCGGCCTCCCAGTGTTGGGATTACAGGCATGAGCCACCGCGCCCGGCCTCGCACTTACAAATTTTCAAAGAATGAACAGTAAATATTTGAAAATTCCCTCCTCTCCCGCAATTTATGTTTGACACCGTCTTTCAGTTCTGCTTTAAAAATTCACTCTCGCGGCCGGGCGCGGTGGCTCACGCCTGTAATCCC